CCCCCAACAGAGCTGGGCGCCCATTAACCCCTGCTCTCCCAGGTACTATGCAGCGTTGGAGGCCAAGAAGGAGCGCACCAGCAAGCATGCCCAGACCTTTGGCGCCCGGCAGCCCACGCACCAGACCACTGGGCCCGGGCAGGTCAGTGGCAGGGAGGCGGGTAGGGGGGCCACTGGGGGTGGACAGTGGCAATTAGGGACATTTATCTGGAGAGGTCATGTGACCCTGGGGGAGGGGAGCAGTTGTGGTAACCTGCAGGGGTTGGTATGGTGCTGGGGGGTTGTTATGGCAACCAGAAAAGGGTCCACAGGACTGTTTCGGGGATGACTTGTGAGGGTGGGGCCTTTCCTAGCCCTACTTATGGGTTGTCACGGGGACCCGCATAGGGGTTGGGAGTTGTCATAATCCCGTCAGGTAGGTGGCGTGACTTGCTGGCCGCCACCTTGGTCCCATCATCCCCCTCCCCGCCTTCGGCTTCTGTCTTAGTTGTGTGACCTGCCACCTTTCAGTGACCATCTTGGTCCCCTCACCCCCTGACCCCGTTGGCCTCCATCTTGCGTTCGTCATCTCCTCCTTGGCGACCATCCTGGTCCTGCCAACCTCCCTCCCTTTGGCCACCATCTTGATCCTGTCATCCCATCCCTTCTGGGCTGCCCTCTTTGCCCCCCACCCCTTGGCCACCATTTTGGTCATCATCTGAGGTCTGTTATTCCTCCCCCTTGGAGGTCATCTTGGTGGCCATTTTGGGTCAGTCAGCTCCTCCTTGGCAGCCTTGGTCCTGCCAACCCCCTACCCGTCTTGGTGGCCGTACTGGATCTGTTGATCCCCTTGGCAGCCATGTTGGTCCCATGAAGTCTTCCCTGTTGGTGCCATCTTGGGTCTGCCACCATCTTGGTTCCCCCCAGTTTTGACAGTCATATTGTCGTCCCCCCGCCCAGGACAAGAACGTGTGGCTGTCACTGCTGGGCCTGCTGCGGCGCCGGGACCAGCTGCCCGTGGTGGCCTTCACGTTCTCGCGGAACCGGTGCGACGAGCACGCCTCCATGCTGACCACGGCTGACCTCACCACGGGCGCCGAGAAGAGCGAAATCCACGTCTTCTTCCACAAGTGCATCGCCCGCCTCAAGGGCACTGACCGCCAGCTCCCCCAGGTCCATACCCTGCCACCCCCAGTGGTTCAGGACATGGGTGGAGGGACAGTGGATGGGGGAGACGGCCATGGGAGTTCCCCCAGGATGTGCCAGGAAGTGAGGACCACTCATTAAGCGGTCTGCGGGCACGGGAAGGTGTTTTTAGGAGCCCAATGGGATGAGCCAGGAAGTGGGGGGTGCCCACCATGGGTGGAGGGCATGTGAGTTGTAGGGATGCCCACAGGATGGAACAGGAAGTGAGGCCACCCACAAAGGGGTGCCCCCCTCCCCCCAAACCAAACTGGTTTTCTCTGCTTAAGTGAGCACTTCCAGGTCAAAGGCCATTCAGAGGGGTAGGGGGAGATACTGGCCCTGTAGGGGTTGGCGTGAGTGTAGAGCTTAGGGGACCAGTTGCAGGTCAGAGGGCGTGCAGCAGGAAGTCTTGTTGGATGAGACAGGAAGCGGTGGGGGGTTCTTTGGCTGGAGCAGTCTCTCTAATGGTGGACCTCTGTGCTTACGGTTCTCCCAGTGCAACCGTCTTTATGGTCCCCTCCCTCCCCAGTGCAACATCACTTATGGTCCCCTGGGAGCCCTGCACTTACCTGGGGTCCCTCCCCCTCCCCCTCCCAGGTGCTGCACATGGAAGAGCTGCTGAAGCGAGGCATCGGGGTGCACCACAGCGGCATCCTGCCCATCCTCAAGGAGGTTGTGGAGATGCTCTTCAGCCGGGGGCTGGTCAAGGTGAGGGGGTGGGGCTTGAGCAGGGTAACCCTTTCCCCACCCCCTCCCAGGTGCTGTTTGCCACTGAGACCTTCGCCATGGGCGTGAACATGCCGGCCCGCACGGTTGTATTCGACTCCATCCGCAAGCACGACGGGTCCTGCTTCCGTGACCTGCTGCCTGGTGAGCACCGGATGCCTGGGCTCTCTCCCGGCTCTGGGCCGGGGCAGTGGGGCCTGGGAGGGTAGAGTCTGGGGGGAGATGGGAGCCCCTGGGTTGGTGAAGGGTTTTGGGCACTGGGAGTGTTGCAGCAGGTGGAAATCTGAGAGCCCAGACACCTGGGTTCTCTCCTAGCACTGAGACAGGTCAGTGACGCAGGGGTGGCTGGGCTGGGCTGGGACATCTGGGTTTGCTTCTTGCTCTGTGCCAGGGGGGTGCAGCCTGACGGGGGGTTGGGAGCCCGGACGCCTGGGTTCCATCCCCCCCATCACAGGCAGGGCCAGAGCAGTCCCCCAGGGTCAGGTGGCACCAGGAGCTGCTCTCACACCCCACATGCTCCCTCTTTCTCCCACAATGCCTTGCAGGTGAGTACATCCAGATGGCTGGACGGGCTGGGCGCCGGGGGCTGGACACCACAGGCATGGTCATCATCCTGTGCAAGGGCCAGGTGCCTGAGATGGCTGACCTCCACAAGATGATGCTGGTGAGAGCTCCAGCTGGAGAATGGCTCAGCTTTTCTACCCTGCCATGCCCTGTACTGTCGTGTCGTCCTGTCCCAGGGCCAGCTGCCTCCCAAATCCCACCAAGTTTGGGGGCTCCCTGTGACTTCCTCCTCCAGGACTGCCTGCCCCCCCAACTGGGTCTAGGTTTGCCTTGTCCAGCCCTATGCTTCCGTCCAGGGCTGGATGCACCTAAACACAGACAATGAGGGAAGGGGCCTCAGGAAATCACAGCTAGTCCAGCCCCCTGCTCAAAGCAGGACCAGCCCCACCTAGATCATCCCAGCCAAAGTTTTGTCTATCCTGGTCTTAAAACCTCCAAGGATGGAGATTCCACCACTACTTCGGGTAACTTGTTCCAGTGCTTCACCATCCTAGTGAAAGAATTTTTCTTAATATCCAACCTCAACTCCCCTTGCTGCAACTGGAGCCCATTGCTCCTTGTTCTGTCATCTGCCCCCACTGAGAACAGTCCATCTTCACCCTCTTTTGGACCACCCTGCAGGGAGTTGAAGGCTGCTATTAAACCCCCGCTCAGTCTCTTCTTCTCCAGACTAAATAAGCCCAATTTTCTCAGTCTTTCTTCAGAAATCATGTTCCCCAGTCTCTGAACCATTTTTGTTACCCTCCACTGGACTCTCCCCAATTTGTCCACATCATTTCTGTAGTGGGGGGCCCAACACTGAACAAAAGACTCCAGATGTGGCCTTCCAAATGTTGAATAGAGGGGAAGTAGCACTTCTCTTGACCTACTGGCAATGTTCATACCAATGCAGCCCAGGATGCTGTTAGCCTTCTTCGCAACAAGGGCACACTGTTGGTTCATATTCACCTTATTGTCTTCTGTCACCCCCAGGTCCTTTTCCGCAGAACTGCTGCCCAGCCAGTCAGTCCCAGCATGTATCGGTCCATGGGACTGTTCCCTCCTAAGGGACTTTGCATTTGTCCTTGTTGAACCTCATGAGATTTTTTTTTTTTGGCCCAGTTCCCCAGTGTGTTGAGGTCTCTCTGAATCGTAGGCCTACCCTCCATGGTCTAGAAGTGCCCTGTTCCCCACCTTTGGTTGAAGGGTTGGCCAGACTCAGGTCTGAGGCTGCCCTACTCTCCCATGCCCCTCTCCCCCAACTAGATCTAGAGATGCCTTGCCTCCTGACTGGGCTCCTTCCCTTCTACCCGCCCCACAGGGCCGTGCGCTGGCGCTGGAGTCACGCTTCCGCCTGACCTATGGCATGATCCTAAATCTCCTGCGGGCCCGGGGGCTGCGGGTTGAGGATGTTATGCGCCGCAGCTTCTCTGAGTTTCACACCCGCCGCCATGCCCAGGTAGTGCCCATCAGCTGTAGGTGTGGGAAGGGTCCTGCAGGGGGTCTTGGAGGGGGCCTGGGAGAGCTGGAAGGAATTTAGGGGATTTTGAAGGAGGGCTGGAATGTTTCTGGGTGGCAGGGGGCCTAGGGGGTCTTGGAGGGGGTCTGGGGTGAATTAGAAGGGTCTGGGAGAGGCCAGGAGGTCCTGGGGGGGGATCCTAGAGGG